TTTATGCCTTTAGGAGTACGGTCAAGAAATATCTTGTAATAAAAATAAGATAACCAGCATCTTACCCCAAACCATATTTTAGTGTGATTATAACTCTGATACAAAAAGTTCAAAAATTATTATAAGCTTTTCTTAGTTAGATTATTTTCTACTTATTTTTATGTCATCAAATTTAAATAACAATGTGCAGATATTTAGCGTAGTTAGATAAAGCCTGTTCTAATGTAGGAGAGAGCGGGGCAAGCTGACGATTGGGAAAAATAATCTTTATGTATTTAAATAAATGTTTGCGAAATGTGTATAGAAATATTTTTAATTATATTAACTAAACATTGACAAATTATTCAAAAACAGATTAAATTAACACATATGGTTTTGTTAAATCGCTTTTACATGTACCATTTTTGCAATATAATATTGTTTAACGACGTGGAATTTTCAACTAGAGCGTGAATAAATAATAATTTATTTTATTAAAATAGCTAAAATACGAGGTGTGTTTAATAAATACCCAGACAAAATTTATTAAAAATTATATTTCAATCTTACAATTTATTTCAATGGATCACCTTCAAAATTGTGTTCTTTAGCATCAAGTATACATTGCTCCCAACGATTCTGTGACTTTTTGAAACACCTTTGAATGCCATCGTTCATAGTTATAGCCTTTAGCTCTTGTGTGGAGAGTTTCGTTGACGTCCTCAAATCTTTGGTCTATGAGGGTACTTTTTAGTCTTGGAAACACAAAAAATTCACAGGGATATAAGTCGGGTGAATATGGTGGATGAGGTACCACTAGTATATTTTTAGATGCCAAAAATTCACGAAGAGAAGTGCTTAATGCTTGGTGCATTGCCATGGTGCAAAAACCACGACATTGATTTTCACGTTTCTGGCCTTTTACGGCATACTATTTCTCTTAACCTTTCTAGTAGTTGTTTATAAAACACTTGATTTACTATCTGACCTGTAGATACAAACTCAAATGAACTAAATCAAAAAAATCGAAAAAAATAATGAAGATTGCTTTAATGTTTGAACGGACATGACGACATTTTTTTGGACAATGTGAATTTGCAATCTTCCATTGCGATGACTGAACTTTGGTTTCGGGATCATATTCTTACACTCAAATTTCATTACCCGTAATAATTGATTATATGACCCAAATTTATAAAATTTGGGTCGTTAGAAATCCGATTTTTTAGTTCCAAACAAACTTTAATGCGATATTCTATTTGCTCATTGGCTACTTCTCTGACAGTTAATTGTCGGTCATATCTAATTTTGTTTCGAACAAGACGCCCAGGACGATGGTCATTTTCAACGGATATCCAACCTTCTTAAAAAAATTTGAACCATTCAAAAATCACACAACAGCTTAGTAAAACATCTCCAAAAACCAATTTAATTAATTCAAAAGTTTCCGTAGCTTTTTAACCAATTTTGAAAGAAAATTCGATAAACGAGCGTTGCTCCGTAATATTATCCATTGTGAAATCGCAATTTCATACAAAACGATCAAATTTGAACGCGTATTGTCAATGACTGATTTGAGATAATGATTATTATTATATACTAAAATAATGGTAATTATCTCTAGTTTATTTTGGTATAATAACATTACCGATAACATTAAACGATTTTCTGAAATAATTTTAGTCTGTGTATTTATTGAACACACCTCGTAAAACATCATAGATAATAATACCCTTGACATTTTAAGTCTTGTCAAATGAAAAGTTTTCTAAGGGCAATTTTTTAATGAAAGTGTGATTAGTTTATTTTCTTTATATATAATTATTTTCATTTTTTGGAAATAAAATTTCTATATATTAAATAATTAGCTTATAATTAGTGACTATCTATACTGACCTACAAAATTGTAAAGCATGTGTAGAAAAAATTATTCAGCATATTTACAATTAAAATAATTTGTATTCACAACACAAATATAATTGTGTTTTAATAAAATCTTTCAATCTGTCTATTACTTTGAAGTATGACTTATTATGGAAATCACTCTTTCTAATTCTAATTAGTTCTAAAATTTAGAAGTAACACAATAACAAAATATAATTTTGCAAATGGTATAAATTATATCATGGATTATACCGTATAATCCATAATACAACATAGTAATCCAGATTGGTATTGCAACTGTTTTTAATTTCTTTGAAATTTCACACGAATTTCATATTATAAAAAAAGTAGATAAAAATAGATTTTATAACCTTTAAATTTTTAAAATAGCAAAATACCACTGAAATATTATATTTTTACTTGAGACTTGAAAATTTCATAACTTTTGCATTACGAGTTTCTATACCATTTTCAATTATTAAAAATATGATATTTATTCTGTAATTTATTTTTAAGTAATTTTAAAAAATGTTTTTGTTGTAAAGAAAACTATTTTTTTTAAAAGTTTAATTTTTTTTAATTAAAATTGACCATGAAATATATTTTTTTTATTTGTTTCTTTAGTTCAATGTTTTTCTCAATGTATCAATTATAAAAAAATTTATATCTTTCCCTTATACCTTAAAAGATGTCAACTTTAATTTTTAGATGACAAAACATATAGCTAATTTAATAAATAAAGAACTAATTAAGAAAATGACTGCTCGCAACAACTTTTAAACCAGTATTTGGGATGTTATTAATAATTTAAAGTAAT